ACTATTCTACGAAATTATTTGTAAGAATTTAGATATCAGAATTATATAGATGATGACTATTGTAAGTTTTTTCTGAAGTTCTAGAGACAGGAATTATATAAGGGAGGACTATTCTATTCAGTTATATCTGAAATTCTAAAGACTGGAATTACATAGGGGAGGACTATTCTACTAAGGTATATCTGAAGATCTAAAGACCGCAATTACGTGGGGAGGACTATTCTACCAAGTTATATCTGAAGACAGATATACCTTAGTAGAATAGTCCTCCCCTATGTAATTCCAGTCTTTAGAATTTCAGATATAACTGAATAGAATAGTCCTCCCTTATATAATTCCTGTCTCTAGAACTTCAGAAAAAACTTACAATAGTCATCATCTATATAATTCTGATATCTAAATTCTTACAAATAATTTCGTAGAATAGTCCTCCCCACGTAATTGCGGTCTTTAGATCTTCAGATATAACTTAACAGAACAGTCTTTCTCCATGTAATTCTGGTCTCTAAGAGAGCTAGGGACCCTAATTATATGGGAATTTCTTGTAGTCTAGAAGACAACCAACTGAATGAGATCAGGTAAGACTGTGTAGTTGTTGTAAATGTGAGATAATCTATGAAAATATTGCTGATATGATTGAAACTAGAAGTATACAGCGAGAATTATCTGATTGGTGTGCTATATATACATACCGGATAAGAAAATAAGGTCACATTAATTTTATAACTAGTGATGGCTAAGAAACGATGGCTTTTAGAATAAAAACTGATTTACTAGCCGGGACGGAATCAACAGAAAAACTTGGGTTTTCATATCACCACACCTACCTAAAGAACTGATGTTGTATGTTTGTAATGTTTTGTAGGCCTTTTGTGGGTACACTTCAAATTAGCGGATTGAACTTTTAAAATATTTTCAGCAACTAGATGGCGCTGCAAAACCAAAACACTTCAAATTGTCTAAACCAAGCAACAAAGATTGCAAAAGAACTTCGTCGCATACAATTAATTATATTGCACAAATTTTGCAACACTATGGGTGGTGTAGGTGTGTGTGGATCACGTGCGAATGGTGACATCATTTGGAACTTCTATCGCAGAAAATAGAGTGGAATATTCTTAAAAAGGATACTACATAATACAGAGGTGTCGGACAAAATAGCTTGATAACCTGCACGATAGTTTGTTTGGGGTAAGTGAAGGCATATATATTTATTTCAACCTGTGCTAGTTTTAATAAGACATATAGGTTGTGGCGTTCAAAAATGTTTTTATTTATTTTGCTAAATCGAATTTTGAGGGAAAGGCCATAATTTCAAGATCATTTGGTTTCGCAAATATTAAGATTTACATTATATTATTCTTTGTATAGGCTAGCTGGGATTCACGTCATATTTTACAATTCCATAAGCCAATGATTTTGTTCAACACACAGACTGCTGGTGAGGTTACAAGCGATATCTCCAGAAGACAAACAAACATATATATATATCTGCCCTTCCCCTGGAGCGGTACACACCTGGCCATCGTTCCCACGCTTAAAGCTGCAGGAAAATTGGGCACCCAGCGGGTTGTAGCGTGATTTGTCGGGGTTTTTACAACCTCAAAGCACTAATGCACGCGCACCCTCTCGGTGACAGAAGTTATAGAGGTCAGCCATGGCTGGCCAGTTATACAGTAGCTATGATGCTAGGATCTTCTTATGGATTCTGTCATCTATCCCTACTGTTCTCTACGGTAGATAACAGATTATGTTGCAAATTGAATAATTACTCTCATCTTTAGTATACTTTATATATATATAACTAGTAATGCCATCTGGTGGCATTATTAATTCATTTTAGTTATTGATTTAAAATACATGAGATTCCTTTGATAAATGGAGATGATAACTCTGAATCCATTAAAATGTCATGTTAAAAAGATGAACTGAAAGAATACAGACGTTGTCAATTAGGAAGTTTCATGTACTTTTAGCTATTAACGCACTTTAATACCTCAAGCGATTGTAAATCTAGCAGTTATTTTATAAATGCAACGTTGCACTAAGGATAATAACTTGTTACGTAACAGCGTTGGATGTTGTGAAGTACTGAGAGACATGCTACCTCAGTTGTGAAGCAAAGTTTTTTTTTAATCTGAAGCGTTAAGAGTAGATGAAACCTTTTATGGTTATCGAATCGACGTTTCTGGCGTGAACAAAGGTTGCAAATATTCTGCTCTTTGATGTATAGGGCTTCCATCAATGACAGAGTGTTCACACATTTAACACATGCACATGAAAGTCTTATTGTAACGACAAATTGAAGTCTCTCCTACCTGTATAGCTGTCTCCTAGCTAGGGTTGAGTCTTCCAATAGAAAGCTAAATACCACCTTTCATAATGCTCGATGCACCGAGCGTGCTTGGTGAATAGAAAGACTCATTAGGTCTACAGCCTTTCATGATAATGCTCTTTCGGTCGTATAGTACCTCTTCTATGGCTTCTTTTATTAAAATCTTTCAGGAAATGTTTGATTTACCATAAGACATTTACACAGAAGTGGAAGCCGGCTGCTTTCAATTACCGTAAGTGCATACGAGACAAAATAAGTTGTTCTTTAGTATATAACTGTTCATGTGAGAACGGGTTTTTGTTGTTGTTGTTGTGTATATTTTCAAAACATGAGAGATTTTTTATAACAAGAAAATGTAGTACACCCACTAATACACACCTAAAACTACTTGATGATACTGAACTGAAACTAAAATAACAGAAATTATTATAATAAAAAGGCTATTTTCAATCAGTCCTTGTTTATTATATTCAATCACTGAGTTGAAAATTGATCCGTTGCAGTAGAGTTTTCAGGTGACTTATTCAGTTATTATATTCATCGAAATTACATTTTGCAATAAAAAAAAACGATATTTGACTGCGAAATGTATTTGCTTAACGTAGAAGTACTATATTACTTTAAGTTTTGTGTTTGTGAATTTGTTTGTTTGTTCGCGAACTTCCTCCATAGTTTTGGTGCTAGTAGGACCAAACTAGGCAGGCAGAGGGGGCTAAGACGCCTCCGGCAGATTACCCAGGCATAATGGGGTCTAGGAATAAGTTTTCGGGGTTACTGAACTCTAATGTGGCATCGGAATTTGTGTTCCTGTGACCCTCTAGATCCTGGGGTGCCATTTTTGTAACTGTGTTAGTACCTCCAATCAGAAGCTAGCGGTATTGATCTTTGCTAGGGTACACGAGCGGGTATTTTAACGTTTTTTTTTTCTTCGGGTACGGACCCCCCTTAGGAACCGTGGGGATAATGGAAGAGTTTGAAAGCTACATTCAGGCCTCTGTGAATTATGAGAGGACCTTTGAACTTTGGAGCCGAATGAGAGTATTTTATGCTAGTATAAGTAAGAAACCCACTCACTAGCTGAATAGGTCTGCTAAAATTAAGTTGTGTTTCTTTGACGATTACAGGAGTTAGTTTAATAAATCCCTAATTTTCTCAAAATTATGGTGGAGTCAGGAAGTACCTATAGTAAGAACAGGTTTAATATGATGTGGAATCTAAGAACTTTATTGTACAAATAGTATCAAATATACGTGATGATTCTGTAGTATCTTGCAACGAAATTGTTAAAATAAATAAGACGGTAGGATGAAGAAGAAAGACAGTCGATGAAAATACTCCAAGTACTTTTATTTTGGCTAAAAATGTAACAATGTGATTAAAAGTGATGGAAATGTATCAATGTGATTAAAAGTGATGGAAATGTAACAATGTGATTAAAAGTGATGGAAATGTAACAATGTGATGGAAATGTATCAATGTGATTAAAGGTGATGGAAATGTAACAATGTGATTAAAAGTGATGGAAATGTATCAATGTGATTAAAAGTGATGGAAATGTAACAATATGATTAAAAGTGATGGAATGTAACAATGTGATTAAAAGTGATGGAAATGTATCAATGTGATTAAAAGTAATGGAAATGTAACAATGTGATTAAAAGTGATGGAAATGTATCAATGTGATTAAAAGTGATGGAAATGTATCAATGTGATTAAAAGTGATGGAAATGTATCAATGTGATTAAAAGTAGTGGAAATGTATCAATGTGATTAAAAGTGATGGAAATGTATCAATGTGATTAAAAGTGATGGAAATGTATCAATGTGATTCACCTTCTTAATCCGTCACTTACAGCAGAGACGCCGCGTTCATGAAGGCTGTGACCCTGCCGAACCCGTGTGAGTGAGGTTTTTGTTTGTGTTTTATTTCCTGAAAATTATGCGTAGAGTGTTCTTTTTTCTACAGGTGGTCCATCGCGTTGAACACGAATAATCACGTATTATCTTTACAATTTTATTTTCTTAACACAGAACTCACGTAATCACGTGTGTAGGACATCGCTTTTGGTTTGCTTTCACTCCACCATATCTTCATGATCTGTGCTGTTCCGTGGCTTATCTCGGTCTCAACAGCAGCGGGGGTGTCACGTGACAATAGCCGTTTTAGTCTACGTTGATTTTGAAAGCACACGCGGTCGTTTTGTTTTGTTTTTTTTAGCCTGAGGTCGCAGTTTAGAGACAGAGCCCGTGCGTAAAACCAAAGCTTTCGAGTCTCCAGGCAGTATATTATTAGATGCATTGACAGGTAAGTAATTTGGTGCACCTAAGCTATATTGTCATCAGCTTTACAATAAAAACATGGCATCTGGCAGTCCACTCGTCTTTGAAGTAGAAAATAAAAACTGAAAGAAGGGTGCAAAGACGAAAAAAGCAACTTTTTCATCCCCCTAGAGGAGCCGAATAATTTTGATATTAACTACTCTGCAAAAATCAAATATAGAAAAACTTTCAAATGCACCTGGTATTAATTTCTGATAAATTGTTGCCATTTTGTACCCCAATGCTGCAGGCAATAAGTTTTGTTGGCAGTAATATCAGGCTGGCCTTTGATACAACATTTAATAAAGTGAATATAATAATCACACAACAATCTATGCCTGTATCTAACTGAACTATTTGTTCAGTGAAAGTCTTCGTGTAATGGAGCTCCCAGTAAATATTCGATTGGGTAAGTTCTTATTACTGGAATAGGCGCCTAACAAATAGGGCAGAAGGGGCATGTCCCGCATTTTTATTACATAAGGGGACATGCCCCCCGCCTTGATTACATAAGGTGCAAACTATAAACTTTGCTCCCTCCCACTTTTTAAATTTCTGTACAATTGCCTTAAATTAACTAAATGGTCAAGATTTGTTTGAAGTTAAGCACAAAGTTACCCAAATGGGCTATCTGTGCTATTCCCACCACGGTTATCGAAACCCGGTTTCTAGCGTTGTAAGTCCGCAGAAATGGTGAAGGTCATGTATTTGGATCTGTAAAGTATTACCACTGTTTTTAACGTGACAAGTATTTTGAACTGCTGTATGAACACTTCTTGCTTTTTTTGGTGATTTAACACTATAAATGTCCATGATTCTTATCCATGGGCTAAAATAATGTTGGCAGCCAATTTTTTTTCCCGCCGTCACTTTTCAGCAAAATTAGGCGCATCTGATTACTGGCCTTGCTAGTAATTATAGAGATATAAAAATATACATGAAAATTGAATTATAAAATAATGAAATATGAGCTTGTACTTCACAATAAATATTGAAATTAGTTACTCAGTAAGCAATGTATTTAATTAAGTCTTTTTTGAAGCTCTACTGTGCTGCCAAATAGATCTCACGTCCAAATTCTATCCCTGTTCTTCCTAATTTCAAAAGGATGAAAATTAACTGATTCATCAGCTAGAGTAATCTATCCAAAGGACGCGTTTTTTCTTCAAGTTTGGGCATGATGGTGGGTAAAACAAAAAACGCGGCCTGGCTAACTAATGAATGAACATTTGCTGTAAAATTCTTATTAATGCTATAAGTATAGCTACCAGTTTGGCCACCAATTTTGATTTCATCCTTTTAAGTCGCACGCTCAGTCCTTTTTTTGGCAGCACTTTTTTGACACCTAAGTTATTTTTGATTAGATATCATGACTTTTTGTCAGCACACCAGCAAACCACAGCAAGTAATAAAGTGACACTTGATAGTAACCAACATTAGCTTTAGGATCGCAACCCTCTTATTCGAAACAGATCTATACTTTACAGAACCAACCAGATTCTTTAAAATATATGGTGGTAGTTTTTTCTCTCTGAAACAGTGTTAATAGCTTCCTTTATAGTAACGCCATGGAATTTAGATTAACAGTATTTTGTCATCACCCTCATGCAATCTGTACAGCCGTATCAAGCATCACTATTTATGTTAATAGTTTAAGATAATATCACGTGACGCTTAACGCTCTTTAATTAGAGTAATTTAATAAAATTTATTCAATTTGTGTTTCAAAGTTGGCATTGAATACTGAATAATAACTGTCCACCCGTATGATTCTTTAAAAAACTTGAGCTAAAAACTGATAATCTAGTTTGCTTGGCCTAACCACTATTTATGTATCTGCACATCCTTTCACCCTATAGTTTTTCTACTCTAAATTAGCCGTCTTTAATCTGAATCATAAAAAAACTAAAAAGGTTCATTTTTACTCTTAGATGAAGCTGTATAAAAAATTTCAGACCGAAAGCGCACGTGACTTTTTGCGTAGGCTTGCGCAAACATTTCGATTAAATTTGAGCGGTTTTTGTTGAACAATTTTGCACATGTGGCTTATATTTATACCAAATTTGACACCTAACTGTAGGCTGTAATGATCTATCAGTGTACCAAAATTTGAAAAAAAACTCCATGAAATGGAGGCTTTCGGTGCGAAGAGAGAGAAAAAAAGGAAGAAACTGAATCAAAATTGGAAATGCTATATCTCAGGTATCTCTTAATTAAATTTGGTATGTGAAATAAGAGTCCAGTAGAGCACTTTTACTGAAAATGTGTGTTAGTTTGGATTACCACAGTTTGAGATACAGAAGGTGAAAAATCGCTAAACTATCAATCAATCCTGATAATAACACACAGTATATCCTGCAGCAAGTTGCTTTGGCCGCACGACACACTACTATGTGTCTCGATATAAATATATACGTACTCACACAACGAACTTTTCGATGAAATAACTTCATTCAGCATGTATTGCGGTTTTTCTTGAGTTCTTCGTGTTTCTTTTTTGTTGTTGTTTCTTTTTTTGAAACGCCATCCCCCAAACATACAAAAAGTATGTAGATTCTGTGGAAATACAAATTTGATTGTAGCACATTCTAAAATAAAAGCGTTATATTAACATAATCTTCCCTTTACCATATCAGTTTTATCTACATATGCACGATTAATAGTCAGAGTGATGGTCAGAGCACATATAACTCATTGTATACCTACGTGCTTAACCAAAACCAAACCCTATTCGTCGGAACGAATAGCGATGGGAAATGAAACAATATCAGTGAAAAAAATAAGCTTCCGAGTACATGCTGTAGATATTCTTTTCAAATTCAGCTGACCGAATAATTTAGTTTCTTATACAAGTAGTTCTAAGTGAATGTATGGATTTTATACTTCATTAGCAAGATTTCATGTTTATTAATA